TTAAATACTGAACACTATAAAATGTACAGAATAAATTAAAATACTCTCTAGACAAATCAACTGAACATATAAACATAGTGTACAATATACATCAAAAGTAATGTAAGTGGTCTGCAGTATGTACAATATATGCAAATATGTGTAGTAATATATGTAGTGGGTAATGCTCTCAAAAAAAGTGCAGTGCTCTTGAATGCACCTCTACTCCCCCCAACCACACCACTCATTAGGGTGCTAATAAAAGCCACCTGTAGGCCTACCTGCTGTGGTGAGAAGGGCATCAACATTTAAATGAACTGTTGGTATGCTGCATGGTGAGCATGGTGAGCACCTTCTTTACCTACTGTACGTTTTACCCTTTTTGTAGGTTCGCCTGCTGCTGTTTTTTGCACTTAATTGTATTGCTTGGAGTAATTGTGGTTAGCTTTTAGCTTTAGCTTTGCTGTTTTGGTTAGCTTTAGCTTTAGCAGTTTTGTTTAGCTTTAGCTTTGCTGTTTTGGTTAGCTTTTAGCTTTTGCTTTGCCGTTTTGCCCGTTTTGATAATTTAAGCCACCTGGATCTTTGTGTAACTTTTTCCAGTCATCGGGGATCGGGCTGGTCACCTTCACCTTTGCTGTATGAGTGTTTTTCTGCAACTGCACCTGGTGAGTATATGCAGGGCTGGGAGGGTTACTTTAAAAATGCAATCACTTACAATAACTAGTTACTAGTTACATGCCAAAAAACGTAACCTAATCCTTATATCAAAATATAAAAGTAATGAAACCTGATTACATTCCATTTTGGATTGCCTCTAACAAATGCAATGCAAATAAAAACAAGAGAAAATAAATAACTATCAGCTGAACCTTTCTTGTTTGATAACCAACAATGCTGTTCCTGAGTGTCATCTTTTTGATTGATTTAATAAAAATGAGTTTATTTTGTACAGCGTCTCTTTCCCTATCTGGAACCTGTGTGTCTTGCTGACTTCTGAAATTAAATAAAGATGTGTCATTAGTTTGTGGGCCTTCTGCATGTACAGTATGTGGCCCATTGTCTCATAATGCCACACAAACCAAATCATGCCATTGTCCAGAAGTATGTTTTATTAGTCTGTGTAATAAAGTGCAATTCAGAGGTACTTATGTAAAGACTGCAATTTAATGTTGGTCTTCCTTTCAACTGTATACTTCCCAGCTAACTTCCTTTCCTCATCACTGATTGGCTCTTGTTTCCACCCTAATTAACCAGATTAAGTTCACCTGATCACTCCCGATTTAAAGTCCGCACTCCATGGCTGCAGTTCTGGTAAATTCTGACTCAGTTTAGTGTATATCCTGTACCCTTGTTAAATTAAGTGACAGTGTTATGTATCCTTGTTACTTTAAAATACACCTGAAACTAATTTCACATATTTAAGTTCTAATCTTGTATTTGGAGAAAATAAACCTTTGCTATACCGGTGTGACAGTTGAAGGGATAACTATTTTCCACTAGTGTGTTGCTGCAGTATTTTGGCATTTTTTACAGTGTGCTATTGCTTTAAGTTAACAAATTGAATAGCCTACTTGATGCACCTCTGACCTGACCTCAGACATAACATTATTTATTTATTTGGATCCCCATTAGCTTACACAAAGTATAGTTTTCCTGAGGTCCTTGCAAACAATGACTATCATTTTTATCTTATTTTATAGCAATGAAATATATATATATATATATATATATATATATATAATTACAGAAATGATTACAGATAATAAAGTAATTACATATACAAAATTAAATACATTATGATTATATATCTTTTAATACCAGAAAAACAAATCTTTAGCGAATCCTCATCATACTAATAATTGGTGAGGTGTGCACTGTGGCAACACCAGATGACCAGGTGAAGATTAATGATATGAATAAATGAAGAAGCTTTCCTGTGTGAGTACACACCCCAAGAACCAAAAAGTATTTCCCCGTGGGAATCAGATCAAACAAGTTACATTTTAGTCTCTTAAAAGTATGTATCAATCCTGATTAATCCCAGAAACGCTCACCTGCCAGCAGCAACACAAGCCCTGCTTTCAGCAGCGACGCGCTCTCCAGAGCCATGGCCAACCCAACGCGTTTTACGCACACTGCTCACTCCCTGGAGGTCAACTGCACATATTCTTCCACCAGTTTTGAGCCGAAAGCCACTGATTCGGGAATAACACAACAAAGTTACAGATAAATGATCCGCAGCCCCTGGTGCGCGGTCAACAAGACGGCACCAACTGTGCGTAAAAGCCCCTTGACCTTCCCCAGTGGCAGCCCGCTTCCCTCACCGCAGTCCTAATCATAGCAGCCCGGCATGACATCTGATCCTTCTGTCCTGTTGAGTGGAGCTGCTCACAGGGGACAAAACAAAGTCACACTAAAACCAGTGCCATCTTTACATTTTAAATATACCCCTGATGTATGTGCTGTTATGCAAATATCAAAGCATGTGGGATGAAAAAGTCACATGAAATTAGGTTAAAGTTGTTTAAGACCCCATAAAGTCACACCACGTGTTACATATGGAATAAAAAAAAAAACAATCTTAACGTTTTTAAAAGACACTAAGATAAGTAGTAGACGTTTACATAAGTAAAAGCAGTTATTACTGAAGTGGAAAAAATAAAAATAATTAATTCAAGAGTCAAGTTTTAGCACTCATAAGATTTTGCATCATATTTTAAGTAATTCTAGTGTTGTACTCATGTTGACCACGAGAGGGCGCCATTTACCAATGTTTTCAATGGATTTTGCATTTTGTATATCAGTCTGAACCTGCAAAGCATCTAGTAACTGCAGTTATTACATAAAAGCAGTAGGGTAAAAAGTAAAATATTTGCTTTTATAAGGTACTTGAGTAGAAGCATAACGTGGACTGAAATGGAAATACACATCTCTTTGTATTGTAATTAAGTACAGCATTTTTGTAAATATACTTAGTTGCATTCCACCTGGATGAGATGGGAATTATATTATATTAAGTATTTTAAAATCTGCCTCAAAAGCAGGGACAATGTACATAAACTCCATGTATTATACAGAATAGCCTTTTAAATACACAATTATCACAATGATCAGCCTAATATTTTTGCTATTGTCTCTAAATTACACTATTACACCCCTGCTGGGAGACAGTCATTAGACTCATTATCCACTTTTAATTAAATGCAGTAAAGTGTTCCCTCTTACTTTTTTTTAAATATGTAATGGATTACTGTGTAGGAATTCACCATTATCCTGCAGCCCTGCTCACACAGGGTCCCATTACTGCGCACAAAGACACAATTCCCATTTCCATGTCACTCGTATATCAGTGTGGATCTCACGCGGCACAGTAATGTCCCTAATTGAATGTTTTATCTGCTGAGTTTTGTACAGGAACAGAGCGACGGGCATTAGTATTCTCTAGGTGGCTCGGCGCTGTGCTGCCACCCAGTGTGTGTGTCAGTGTGTGAGTCTAATCCCATAGCTCAAATAAATACTTCCATGTGCCTCACACTGCAGACGCTTCATCTATTATGGGTGTGTATTTCTTTATTTGGGGCGTCACAAACCCAAAAGGAAATTGATATAAAAGACAAGACTGTCTATGTAATAGTGTTTCATATTTATTCTTTCTATATAATACTGTTTGTATTTCTCCCAGCTCTTTGGTGTTTTCAATATTTATACTTCTGTTCGTAGTGTTTATACCCATGAATACTGGTTTGCTTTTTCATATCTGTCAGTTATCTTACACTACACTGCCATTTACTACGTCCCTTGCACTTTTGGTTAGATACTAACTACATTTTTTTGTCCTAGGACTAATACATGTGCAAAGATGATATTGAATCTGATATAAATCTGATCTGGTAATTTTCTGTTGACACATTTCTGGTTTAAATGTTTGCAGAAGGCAATCATCTCCATGCTGATGATACAAATGCATATCACAGGAGTCTTTTCTCCAAAGATGATTTTGCTTCGTGCCTATGGTTCAGCTTTCTTTTTGACCAACAATCAATAAAGAGCTGTACTCAAACTCATCATATAAGGTTGACATATTTTATCGACGTACTAAGTCTGATTGTGGAGGAGATCAAGTGGCATTTTGGTTTATTTTCCATGTTTTGAGCAGAATATTTGTGAAAAGTACAAGCCCATAAAGTGCTATGTCCAGAAACAAAGGCCTAATATCGAGCAATTCTCCATAGATTGTGCTAGATGGCAGCAGAGGACACTGAATGAAGCCTCTGTGTGGCACTGTGGGGATTTATGATGGATCATTTCCATCCTTGCTGCCTAAACTGTGGAGTAATCTGGTAATAGAGCCCGTTTACGCCTGAGTTCTCCCTTTACATGGATCACAAATCAATATCTATTGGTCCTCGCTGATTTCCCTAGCAGTTTTCATACTTTCACACGAGCCCACTGGGGACACTGGATTGTGAAATGAGCGTCCCTGAACATGGTATACTGCCTGTTCTCTGCAGCATCAAACTTTATAGTCTGAGCCTTTCAGTGTGGTGGAAGCTTGAACTTCCTGTAAGCTTACATTCAATATCCCAACACAAGTGAAGCAAAAGTAGTTGTAAATAGAAATCACTCTCTATTCTTTCTACATAATGAACTAATGGTCCTGTCATGGCAGGAAACAGGCTATAAAGCAATTATTTTAATAGGTATTTAAATAATGATCATTATATGGTAATAAAAAGTCAATTTCTGCCTTTTTTCCAGCATCAGAGGAGACCACCCCGGGGGAAAACCAAAAAAAGAACCTGCTCCTGACAGGTGTATTGACAGCAGTGATGGAGCCAAATAGCCAATCAGGAGAGGTGATAAGTGAGGTAGGCGTATTTCCAAAAAAGAAGAGACAAAACGCTTCTAATCTTTTAGATAGCTGCTTTAATTGGCTGAAGGAGGTGTCGATCTCAGCAAGGAGGCGTGTTTAGATCCCCCCCCCCACATCCCAGCACACACTCCACCCCCCCCCCCAGCCACCGGCGCTATGGCAGCGTGAGGAGTAAATGGCTCAGAGTATCCGCGGTGGAAAGCGACCTAAACACTGGACAGGGAACTGATAAACAAACAACAACAAATAACGCGGTGCGTAAAAGCTCTCCACGGCGCTGCTTCTGGGTGGAAACTGTGCCAACAGCAGAGAAGACTGACGTGATTTTTTTTTCTTCCATTTCTCTCAGTGTGAGCAAACAAACGAGGATATCTTAATTGGACATGTGAGTTACGGGAGTTAACAAGACAAGCAGCCCCCTTTTCGAAGATGAAGTTCCCCGCTTGTGTCCTCGTCACTTTGCTGGTGATCGGAGCCGGTGCAGCACAGTCAGGTGAGTGCTCGGATGCGCGTCTCTGCACATGGGTCGCCCAGGGAGGTCAGATCCCCCTAAAAAAAAAATGTATTTCCTGACATACACCTGCGCACTTTGGCTTGATATGGTGGCGGAATCACAGTTTGGTGAATGACAACGAGCGGTTGTGACACCTCTGTTATTGCGAGCTTTGCATCACTGTCACAAACTTACACAACTTCATATCCAACAACGCTCATGCTGCTTTTGAGTCCGCGCACTGAGACTCTCACCTGCAGTAAACTGACATTCAGCAGCCTGTGGAAGCGTGCCAAGCTCTGCGTAAAAAATTCTCCAAACTCCCCTCCTTTTATCACCTTTTACGAGTTTATCTGATAAAAAAAAAAAAAGAGTCATTCTAAGCAGAGATTGTGGTGCTTTGAATGGATACATATTGTTGTTTGGGATAAACTGATGTTTATGAATGAATGCGCCATCGTTTTAATCTAATTCCCATAAGCGGACATTGATGCACCGCGGCTATTTGCGCTGATTTATATGAATTGAGCTCGTGGTAGCCCTTTTATTCATGCCTGTCTTTGAATAATTTAGATGTAGCAGATACACTGAGGGCTATAGTGGGAAAACATCTCACTTTCATCATAAGGACCCCCGTGGTGTCAGTCCCCGGACCAATATCACTTTAATGATCCTGCAATATTCCCATAATGCATCCATGGCATGCTATAGTCAATTCATAGTGAGGTTAATGATATCTGTGTATGGTTGTAATCCCTTTGGCACCCCTGTGGGATATTTGCTGTGAGCTTTCTGCAGTTACATTGGCTGTGTGCAACACTATTTATCCGAGCAAATAATGAAACTTTTTTTCCAGCATCAATAAGGGTTTTAACGTGCTCCAGTATTCTGTTTGAATTTGAGTCCCGTGGAATAATGTCAGACTGAGTTAAATCTGGTGTTTCATGTTTTTTGGGCAAGAATCTGCTTTTTAAACTGATGAAATCAAGTTTTGGCTAGGGGGAAAAACACTCCAGGCAAACAGGAAGTGGAAACATAGGAGTGTTTTTATGTTTGGAGGGTGAATTTGGCTTTACTCCAACCTCTCAAATGGGATGCTTTTCTTCCCCGCCTCCAAGGACAGGTCGAGTTTTGGCTTGTGGTTCTCAACAATGTGTGTGTGTGTGTGTGTGTGTGTGTGTGTGTGTGTGTGTGTGTGTGTGTGTGTGTGTGTGTGTGTGTGTGTGTGTGGTGTGTGTGTGTGTGTGTGTGTGTGTGTGTGTGTGTGTGTGTGTGTGTGTGTGTGTGTGTGTGTGTGTGGTGTGTGTGATGTGTGTGTGTGGTGTGTGCTGTGTGTGTGTGTGTGCTTGTGGTGTGTGTGTGGGTGTGGTGCTGTGTGTGTGTGTGTGTGTGTGTGTGTGTGGTGTGTGTGTGTGTGTGGGTGTGTGTGTGTGTGTGTGTGTGGTTGTGTGTGTGTTGTGTGTGTGTGGGTGTGTGTGTGTGTGTCGTGTGTGTTTGGTGTGTGTGTGTGTGTGTGTGTGTGTGTGTGTGTGTGTGTGTTGGTGTGTGTGTGGTGTGTGTGTGTGTGTGTGTGTTGTGTGTGTGTGTGATGGTGTGTGTGTGTGGTGTGTGTGTGTGGCCTATTATAAACAGCAGTGGATGGATGGGTGTCAGGCAAGGGAAAGAGAGTGCCACCCTTTGCTGGTTTATTTATTCACTACGCATACACTCCCATCCGAGATATTTGTGATGCAAATTCAGCCTCGAGAATCTCAGCTATGCCTCTTGGGAAGTTCTGTGTGTGTGTTTACTGAGCTGATATGTGTGTGCTATCTGTCCACTCTTTCACTTAATCTCCCGCTCCTTATTGTGGCTTTAAAAATGCATCCCCGGCACCATGCATCAAGTCATATCAGGTTGTAGTAAGTCAAGGCTGGAGATGTTCACTTCAGCGGTGTTTAACATGGTGATTGAATCTGTCTGCTGCGAGACAAATGTCTGCAGCATTCCTGCCAGTCAGCTGGTCTGTGGAGCAGTAGAACTGTGCGTGTGTGTGTTTGCATGATGTACAGTGTGCGCCAAACATGGAGGTGTTCACACCACAAGGAACTTGATTGATGTCTTGTCTGTTGGCAGTGTGAGAGAATGGCCTTCTGTAAACTCACGGTTCACTTTTTGTCACAAGTATGCCTCAATTCTTGAATGAGAATGATTAATTTTTTTCAAAGCAATTTGTTCAAGCCTCGGAACAATTAGTTTGTTGTTCACAACAGATTTGATTCTCATTTATTCAAGCAAGCGTCTCCGCATGTGTGTGCATACTGTAAGAGTAATTGTCTACGGTTTGCACAAACAACTCACACAAACAACTTCTGAAACGTCTTGCAACGCTTGAGCAATCGCATGCAAAATCTGTCAGAGATACATCTATATTCCATACATTTCTATGACATGGAATATTTCTTGTTTTATTTTTGTTGACTATTTGCATAGACGTCATTTTGTGGCACATTTTCGATTCAATACACAAGACTTTACTGAAAAAAATCAAAGGTGAATGATGTCAACAGTGCCATTCTTCTAGTGACCTTTGACCTAGTGTTGAAAAGGGAATCTAAACAGCTCAGACTTAAACTCAATAGCATTTAGTGTTATATGGATTTATGAAACATTTCCAGAGTTAATGGCTATGATGAAAATCTTGTTCGTTTTGATGGACAATTTACTGACACAATAAGCAAGGATGTCCCATGAAAGAGTTGTAACAAAAGCCAATTGAGAAAAGCTTGAAATTTAAACATAAATGGAACTGATCCAGAGTTCAGGATTGACCTAGTGATGCGTTCAAGGGGTTCAATAAGAGTTACTCCAGAATGCTGATCAACTTTCTTCTCAATTTTGAGCTAGCTGTGCAAGTTTTGTTCATTAAAATCTCGTAAAAAATCTTATCAATGAAGCCAAATGATCCAGATTGCCATGACTTATTTGTTGTAATGACTTCTGCAGGACAGTGGATATAGGGTTGCAACTAACTTCTTCTCATCCAAATATTGTGAGTAAATGGTTAACATGCTTGACAACCAAAGGGAGAATGGGTCCAGTGAATGTTTGGCATTTATACTTGAGCAAAATATCACTCAGTTATCAAAATATGTTACTATTTAATATCTGATAATGGACAAATTGAGCAATAAGCTAATATTTGAAGCTGTATTGGTTACTACCTCCCAAAATGTGGGTTATCTATTGGCTGCAAATGGCAGTTTTCAAAGTGAACATTCCTCTTAGTCTTAAAATCTCCAATTCTAGGCTGTGAGATTCTTCTGAAACATTTTCTGTCAAATTACTGTTACCTTACTGTAACAGTAATTTGACAGAAAATGTCAAAAAATTGGGAGGTCAAGCATACACTTTCTAGTCATTTCCCCTTCTTTGTGGTAGTGAAGGACTTTGGCCATTTTTGATTAAATTCCATATTTTCTTTGTGCAGCGTTCAGTTGTTTGGGAGTCAGCTGATATTGCTCTTTAGGGTCAAGGTGTGGAAGAACTCTGCAAAATGCCACGTCTAAACGGATTTATTTGCACAGCTTGATACGGAGATTCTTTAAATTGAGCGGGTTCATGGTCTGTATTTCCAAAATACCTTTTTTAAAGAAGCTACCAGCTGTTTTTTACATCCTTTATCAAGCTGTCTTCTTCCCCAAACAAATGGCTGAAACATTTTAATCGCCCTGGCTCTTGAGTGTGTGTGACAAATGCTGCATTCACACGTGTGCCGTGTGTGTGTTTGGGTGACATTTAAAGACGTGCTCTTCTGTGAAATGGCCGGGAGGAGAAATGAGGGAAGGGGGGGAATCTCGTGGAAGGGATCCCGCTGAATGCCAGTATCAAATTACCTGGCGTTCGTCAGCTGGCACGATGAGCTGGCCGAGGCTTTGTAGAAGACTGGGAGGAAATGAGAATTTATTACAAGCTAATTAAGCTTTTTTTTGATAGCATCAGTCTAGACCACGGGGCCTTTATTTGACAGCATGAGAGATGAGGGAGGTGAAGGAATTCAATCTTGCTGTAAATTAGTCAACAGTGCTATCATAACTCGATATCTGCCAGGCTTAACCCGTGCCAAGCTTTCGCTGTTAGTCAAACGACGAGCTGAGATATGGATGCTTTGGTGTCTTCCATGAAACAGGGGGAATAGAACAGGCCGTTTGCACCAAGGTGTGCTTATGTTAGGGAAGCCTTTTGTGTTGGGGGGGGTGATGGAACGTTCTCCCAAAGCCTGAGACAGCAACTTCTCGTGGTACTGAATCAGCGTTCCGATTATTATCAGCCCAACAAAGATGACGCTGTTCCCTCGCGGATGAAAAAGTCGTTCTCTTCCCAGGCATTCCGAAGCGTGTTTGCTGACATTTTGTTTCCCCCGCCGGCTGCACAGAGGGGCTTCTGTTCCTCCAGTTTGCGAACCACCCAAATATTGACATGCGGCATCACAACTGCACAGCATGGGAAGGAAAACATCCAAGGCGCGGGTGCAAAATAGGCGGCTTTATTGGCCTCTGTAATCATCCCTTCGAAGTCTGTCTCTGTGTGTTTGGCAGGAAGGACTCTTTGAACCGCCCGTGCCTTTGCTGCCTAATGATGAGCAGGCTTGGCTCTGGTTGCGTTCAGGCGTCCGGTGCCAACTCCTGGTGAGAGTTAGATTGGCTAGTCGGTCGCTGGAAGCCTGGCACGGATGCCCCCTTTTCAGGAGGTCCCACTCCCACGCAGAAAACTCGACCGCGCGCAGGGGTGTACTGTAACCACCAAATCGACATGCTCCAAGTCTTTATTTCTTTCACACACTGGTGCAAGTTCAGGGTTGAAAAGCAGCGGAAGCTTTCAAGTGTGAGGCAGCTTCCTTATTGTTTGCTTTTAGTGGTTTCTCACACACAAAGGACAGGAAAGACAGAGGATTTCTTTCTCCTTCCTCCCTCTTCTGTTTCTTCTAGACCACTGGAGGGTTTGTTCGGCCCGCCACTTGT